TGGGGGGAAATGGGGAGAAAATGGGGACGGGAACGGGGGGAAAATGGGGATGGGAACGGGACAGGGAATGGGGAGAAAACGGGGGGAAACGGGGACGGGAACCGGGAATGGGAACGGGGAGAAATGGGGAGAAAACGGGGACAGGAACAGGGAGAAAACAGGGAAGGGGAGATCACAGGGACGGGGAAATAAAGGGGAGAGGGGAAAAAACCAGGAATGGAGAAAAAACGGGGAGTGGGAGAAATACCAGGGAATGGAGAGGAAAAAAACGGGAATGGAGAGATGACGGGGACAGGGAAAAAAACGGGGACAGAGGGAGATAACAGGGAATGGAGGAAAAAATGGGGAAGGAGAAATGACAGGGATGGAGAAAAAAAAGGGAATGGAACAAAAAATGGGAAAGGAGAAATGACAGGGATGGAGAAAAAAAATGGGAATGGGAAAAATAACAGGGATGGAGAGATAAGAGGGATGGAGAAAGGCCGGGGAAGGAGGACGAGGACATTTCTGCCCTAAACCCGACTTTTGGAGGGGTTTGAGGGGAGAGGCCCGGGGGGCACCGAGGCCTGAGGGAGGAGAGGGCGCTGACAGCCCCGGAGCCGCGCCGGGACCGCGTTACCCCCTCTGGGTTTCCAGGGCCAGCTCCCCGCCCGGTTTTGCCCGGTTTTTTTCCCGTTTTTCCCCCGTTTTTTACCATTTTTTCCCCGCTTTCCCTCAGGGCTCGCTCCCGCGCGCTGTTTGAACCGGGCGGGGCCGCTCCGCGCATGCGCGGCCGCGCCTCTCCACCCCGCGCGCTCTCATTGGTTCCGCCTCTTCTCCACTCCCCCCCTCCCATCGCGTCCCGTAATGGTTTCGCCCGTTCCGTGTGTCACCGCGAACGCGTCCCGCCCGCCCCGCGGCGCCGTCGCTTTGGTTCCGCGTGGCGCGGAGCCTCTCCGGTGATGGCGGCGGCGGCGGCGGCGGCGGGCGGGCCGGGCCGCGGGCTCTGGGTGCAGGACGCCGCCTCCGCCGCCCGCCGCCGCCCCGCTCTCACCGCCGCCTCTCTAACCGCCCTGGCTCTCACCACCGGCCTGGCTCGCTCGGTACCGGACCGGAGCTCCCTGGAGGCGGCGGCGGTGGCGGCGGGGGCGGCTCTGGCGCAGCTCCCGCCGGGCTCCCGCAGCCCCCGCGCCGAGCGCCACGTCCAGCGCCTGCTGCGGCTCCGCGAGCGCGGCCGCCTCCGCGTCCGCTCCTTCGGCATCATCGCCGTGGCCGGTAGCGACCCGCACGGCGAGGAGCCCGCGCTGTACCGGGCGCGCTGCCCGCACCTCCGGCGGCGCGGCGAGCTGCTGGATTTGGGGTTTTTGGGGCGCTGGTGGATGCTGGAGGCGGCGCTGCGAGACAGCGACATCAACGAGGAGGAGTTCGGGCACCTGGCGGAGCCGCTGCGGGCGCTGCGGCCGCGGGAGCTGCGCTCGGAGCGCAACGAGCGCCTGCACCGGGAGGGGAGGAGGGCGG